GGATTGCAGCTGGGGAAAATAGTCTCCTACTAGAAATCCCATCCCACACTGCAGTCTAAATGCTAGATTTATTCAAGCCAAGCTACAGAAATTCTATCCTATCAAATTAATGTGTAAAAAGCAGAATTCTTCACATAGCTGCAGTGATGCTTAAACAAGAAATCCACAAAATGTTTTGATTTCTGTGATCCCTCAGAAGTGTTTACAAGTAGACCTTTATGGGATTGTATCAAATTACTACTGCAAGTTTACAATGCAATGCAGAAGAGCAATGTATTGCGATATGGAGAAACACCACCAGTCACTACAGGGAATCCCCGGGTTAGGAGCATTTCCGTAGCCAACGTTCAAAGTTATGTGATCAGCGCCCCCTAGTGTTTAAGAACAAGTTCCGAAACTACGAATCTTGCAGTACCACGGCAGTTGTTCGCCCTTATAGACAACCGCCAGAGGCTCTGCAATATTGGTTGTGCACTTTGGTGGACAAAATAGAACTGGGGCAGGATGGGACTGATCCTCCGACACTTTGTTTAGGCCTGCGCAAGCCTAAATGGAGCTTTGATTTGGCCAGCAAATTGCCGGGTGAGGTCTGCGGAAGCAAAGTGTCACACACAGCTGAGGAGACAGCTTGCTAGATGTTTGCATGGTAAGTGACCTGGGGCGGCAGGTTGGGGTGGGGGGGAGAAACAATTGTGGTGAGTATGAAGTATTTTAGTGGGTCGGGAAGGCCTTGGGTGGTCTTAAGCAGGTGGCTTGTTGCATTATGAGGCCTCCCCCACCCCCATGGCCTCCCCCCCCCCAAATACCTCATTGCACTTAATGAACCGCGCATTTGATTAGCAATTCATGGGCCAAAGGAGAGTGATCATGTTCAAGGTATGAGACTCAGTTCCACGAATCCTCAGGTTATGAATAGAATGGGCAAGCATTCATAACTCGAGGATTCCCTGTATATGAATAATTGTAGGCTGAGGAAAATCACTTGAGACTGATTCAAATTAAGATACATATCTGAAGTGCCAACAAAGATTAGATTCACTGGTTCAGGATAATTTTTTGTAGTTTGCTCTGAGGGTGGTAGTAGACTAAGATATAAGGTTGGATCATGAGATCCAAATGCATTCGCTGGCTGGGGAATTCTGGGAGTTGAAGTCCGGACATCTTCAAGTTGCCAAGGTTGAGAAACACTGCACTAGATTATGTCAGTATAATGAATCCACTATTTCCTTTTATCAATCAATATTTTAAAATTATTTTATTATAATTACCTTTACATTTTCTTTTGGTCAATTAGCAAAGGCATAAACATGAGAAAAAACACGTTATAAAGATGGTGATAAAGTGAGTAACGAGAAGCAGAACAAATCGCGATGAATGGAATTTTGGGGACGTTCAAGGAATAAACTTTACTAAGTGTGCCGGATACCTAGCTACAATTTTAGAATGCATTATCTATACCAGTGTTTCTCAACCTTGGCAACTTGAAGATGTCTGGACTTCAACTCCCAGAATTCCCCAGCAGTGGTTAGGACAGTGTTTCTCAGCCAGCATTCGCTGGCTGGGGAATTCTGGGAGTTGAAGTCCAGACATCTTCAAGTTGCCAAGGTTGAGAAACACTGATCTATACAGTATAGATAGGATAAAATATCCTAAAGAAAGAAAAATCATTAANTCAACAGCCACAAAACCCACAGCTATACAAGCCTCACACTATTACCTCTAATTTCTGTGCTCGTTCTTTACTGAGCGGCTCCAGCAGGAAGCACAAGTTGTTATCATCTGCTAAGGAGCGTAGGTCGAAGTAGTATTTGGCGTAAACACTGGCAGGAACATTGATATTGAACTGCAGCAGCTCCAAAAAGTGTCTTTCCATCTCATTCCTGGAAGAAAATAGAAGAGGATGTGAGAAACAGAATTGGGTTCATTCAGCTGGAGGCAAAAAAAAAAAGAAAAAAAATAAGAAGCACCCACCAGGACTTTGGTAAAAATAAATAAATAAATGCTGATGTATAGAGCCAAAACATTTTTAAAAGGAATAGAACTAATGTATGAATACAGTTCATAGCAGGGGCGCTATTTGAATTCTGGTATTTTCAGCGGATGGGAGAGATTACATTCTGCCACATACTCTCTCGGCTGATGCGGACGGACCCCCTTCTTCTTTATTAAGAGTCCCATAAGCCCAGCTTTACACAATTCGCGCTGCATTGTTATTCTTACAAGACCCTGCGCCGTAGTTATCAGATGAAAAGAAGGACGCCTGCTGTTGATTAGCTCCGAAGAACTTGCAAGGCATTTTCACCAGGTTCATAACAGGAAGTGGGTACGCTGAAGTGGGAGAGGGCCAAACAAAAGAAGTGGGCATATCACCACGGCAACAAATGGATCTCTGAAGAGCTGCTGCTATTATTTTGGTGGAAAAAGCTCTTGAAGCAACACGGGTTCATCTCCATCAATAAATAAATAAATAAGCAAGCAAGCAACTTTAGATAGGCAAAGGAGTTTTCTCTCCTGAGACTCCTAAGAGGTTTCCGTATCAACCTTAGCTGGCAAGGGGAATTTTTTTTTTAGCGCTGCTAATTTTGGCAAAATCTGTTCTATGTATTCATATCTGTAGGTCAGCACTTCTCGGGATGGACAGTCCCAGAAAGAACAGAACCAACCTACGACATCACCGACTACCCAAATTCATACAATATTTTTAAAATGAGCAAGTAGATAATACAGGTAGTCTTGGACTTACAATGGCAATTTGGTTCACTGACAAAAGGGTGACCGACAAAAGCGCGCCCGACTAAACCGCGGCGACAAAACCGCGAGTTCTAGAGCGCTCCAACGAATGAGCGCTGAATCGCGCCGACAATAGCGCGGGGACAGAAGCGCGCTGTAAACCTAAACCTAACCCCAACCCTAACCGTAACGCTAACCCTAAACCTAACCCTAAACCTAACCCTTACCTTAACTTAAATCGCCCTTCTGTCGCCGCGCTATTGTCGGCGCGATTCAGCGCTCATTCGTTGGAGCGCTCTAGAACTCGCGGTTTTGTCGCCGCGGTTTAGTCGGGCGCGCTTTTGTCGGTCACCCTTTTGTCAGTGAACCAAATTGCCATTGTAAGTCCAAGACTACCTGTATTATCTACTTGCTCATTTTAAAAATATTGTATGAATTTGGGTAGTCGGTGATGTCGTAGGTTGGTTCTGTTCTTTCTGGGACTGTCCATCCC